TCAGTCTGGTTTTTCTTTGAAGAACTGTTTTAATTAAAAATCAAGAAAATAAATGAGACATAATAAAAAATTGACGAATCACTAACGAATGAATTATGCTTTTGTTATTCTCACTGAATCTACCTATAGTAATTTACTTGAATTAAATCTTTGCTTATTTGTACGTCGTATGAACTCTATTAAGATTCTCAAATATCAGCAATGAATTCTTCGCAATTGTCTTCCTGTACATCTCAATGGCGTTCAAGTATATCTACTCAAACTGAAACTATATCACTATCAAAATCATATGATAATTCTCAACGTAAGATTTATTTCTTAATTTGACATATTTACAATATGTATATTTCCTTTTGCCTATGATAGATTCCTATTCATCTTTCAATGATACAATACCTTTAGTTCATACAACTGATAAGAGTTCTCATTTACTATCAAAATCAACATGTATTCCACAAGTAGATGGGTCAATCGATGATGATAATGATGATGTTGATTTTCATATATCTTCTATTGTAATGAATTCTTTAATTGAACAAATTATTGATAAAACAAATTCTGAACGTTTTTATACGAACAGTGAATATTCAATAGATTTATCAGATTATGTTAATTCACCATCATTAGTTAATTTTACTCCAATATCACCTACAAATCGTAATCATCAAATAAAAAATTCTGAAAAGAAAAAATCTATATCATCCGATGATCTTATTCAATTATATAAACAATGGTCAAAATCGAATTTTTCTCGTGTGAAATTTACAATAACAAATGATGAAGGATATAAAATCATATCTGATGATTTAGATTCAGCATGGTCAACAATTATTAATTTAATACGTAATTGTCGTGATGATATGAATTTACAACATTTATCAATGACAAATGAAGAATTAAATGGACATAAAGTATTTGGTTTAACAAAACCTATTATTCAAATAATGCTTAATCAAATGTATACAAATCAACAACAAATTGGAACAATTATATTACCATTGTCATCATCATCATCATCAAATAATAATTATAATAATTCTACATGTTCAATAGAAAATTTTAATAAAAAAAAAATTTTATTATCATGTTCAAGATCAAATATATACGAAAGAAAAACTCGTGAACGTCAAAGATTTGGTTGGTTATTAAATCAAAGTAGAAAAATTGAATATGCACTTAAATCATTTGAAATTGATAATGCACTTGCATATGCAAGGTAAGTTTTCTTTTTTATTAATTTTTTTGTGAAATACAACGTGACCGACATCTTAGCAATACTCTCTCCCTTTCCACATGACAAATGGTCATATTTAATCACATATTATAAGTGGGTGGAAAAAAAAATGTTTAACAACAACATGTTTGTGTTTTAAATACTTAGGTCAATGCCATCTTTACAAAGCAAGAAAAAATGAGAGGTTGCTGTATTTTCTATGACCTTTCCTTAAAAAAGTTAAAAGTATCACGAAACATGTTTTTTTAATCAATTTTTGGATAAATTAGATTTTTTTCTACTCTATAAACTACTAACGTATTTCAGTTCTGGAGGATGAAGTAAATGAATGGTAAAAGAATGTATCCTAAAATAGATAGAATAAAACGACTTCGTGTGATGAACAACAGCAAGTATGTTGTGTTTCACATTTTAATTCCCCCACGTATTGCACTAATTGCTTTTCATATTAAATTTTAATTGTTGAGTTTGTTTTTTTTTGTTTTGCTTTTTCTATTAGACGAATTATTCTTGAAGAAGCTTCTGTTAGTTTACGTCTTTATCATTTACATTATTTTTCTGAACGTGCTTTACTTGTTGGTTCATCACCTATACATGGTTGTGGTTTATTTACATTAGTTGATTTAATTGAAGGACAAATGATTATTGAATATACAGGTGAAGTTGTTCGACCATGTCTTACAGATAAACGTGAACGTGAAAATGAAGGAAAAGTAAGAAAATAAAAAGCAAACAAAAAAAAAAAAAGAAACAAAAGTATCAATGATATTTATTAGGGTTTTGGTTGTTATATGTTTACGGTTGATGCAATGAATGTTATTGATGCTACGCATCGTGGAAATAAAGCTCGATTTATTAATCATAATTGTGAGGTAAGTTTTTCAAATAAAAAGAATTATATACAATTTTATAAAAATGATTCTTTTTGTTTTTTTGTTTTAGCCAAATTGTTTTGCTAAAACTGTTTTATCAGGTGGTATTAAGCATATTGTTATTTATGCATTAATGGATATACCTCGTGGATCAGAATTAACATATGATTATTCCTTTCCGGAAGAAGATATTAAAATTCCTTGTCATTGTGGTACAAGCAAATGTCGAATTTATTTAAACTGATGCGATCTATTTGTATATACATTTATGTTTATCATTACTAGTCAATACTTCTTTCTCTCTTGTTCTTCTCTCAGATTTGCTTTCTTTGTACGTTGATTTACATTATGTAAGAGTGTATTTTTTTGTTCTTTTTTTTTTTTTTGATATATGTATTATAGAAATAGATAAGCAAATAAGAGGTTATTAATTAAAATGATGATTAATTTTATGTAGGTCAATCTAGTGCTATTATCATCATTGATTGTCACAGAAATTTAAAAAAAAACAAAAGTCTTCATGATCTCAAGTCATTCTCGTGCATATCTATAATTAGAACTAACATACTTAAGAACAAAGCAATCATAAGTTCTTTTGTTTTGATGTATAATAAGCTACCAGTCATTTTTTTATAAATATAATGAGCAACTAATTGACATTATCTGCGTTGATGACTTCTCTTGACAAGCTTTGAAAACAAAACAATAGGATGAAAAAGAATGGACTGCATTAGTATGCTTAATAACATCATTATAAATCAATAATTTTAGACTTTGTAACCATTCAGAATGTACCGAATATGTTTATTTACTGACGTAAACATATTAGAAATCATGGAGGACGACATTTGAAATTATTGTATATGCGAAAAGATTATCATTTAAAATATCTTGAAAATTTAATAAATTTTTTCCTTCTATTTTTCACTCTAAGCTATTCATTTGAGAATATACGAGGAAATATAAATTTTCATAATGTCGTTTAATAATATATTTGATATTCTTTATCAGGTTACAATAGAAGTTTTCTAATACAAAAAGAGAGTTCACTAATACATGACATAATTCATTTCTCTAGATTATAATCAAATAAGAAAACAACATTTCTTCCCAATAGAATTCAAATATTCATGATTTTTTCGTATTGAAACTGAATTCAACTAAAGCAAAACAAAAAAAAAAAAATAAACAACATACATGTCGATTTGGAAAATTGATATGTCCTCAAAGTATTTTACCTTAGTGTTTACCGAGATTTTTTTTTCGTTCAAAGCCATAAAGATCTACTTTTCGCAGTACAGACACATAGTAGTACGTGATATAATAATCACAAACTTCGGATACACGCCATCCTCATGCTAGACAAATAAATTAGATTATTCCACTATCCAAAAAAACTCTACTGAGTGGCTTTATATTTCATTCATCACATATATTTGAGTCTATGTTCATTTGAAACTTCAAGAAATGCCATTTTTCTTTTTAACTATCATTATTCTCACCTTAATGTAACATCTGTTGAAGCCATATTAGAAAAATACTATAAATAAATTCTAGAGAAAAATTATCAAATGAATTTCTTTTTTTTTTTGTTGAATTATCACACACTCAATAATAACATTTTGATGATTTCTATTTTAGGAAACTTTTTTGTTATATATATTTTATAGTCTAGTTATTAAATTTAAAATTCATAATTAAATTACGAATACACACAGATTTTTATTTTCAATGTTCTAAATGTTTCTCTTGTTTTCTAATTATTGATAATTTATTATAAACAGAAGTTTAAGTTTTATTAATCAATTTGAAATTTAATACAATAAGCAACCAAATATTAACAATATGCTATCAATACTGATTGAATTATAACTAAACCATATTGATTATAATATATATATAAATTTTTATTATCGAAATTGTACTCGAAAAATATTTTTTTAAGTCAAAAAATGATTCATAAATGTTTTGATCGTTCATATAATACTATTTTCGATAAATTCAATTGTTAATTCAATATATTATTATTAAATTATTATTTATATTTACAAGAATAAATAAGTATATGATACATAGTTTTGAAAAGACTCTTTGTCCTTGTTTTTTTTTTTTTGTTCTATTTCTATAAAATTCACAGATGGAATATGAAAAACACTGTAAAAAAAATAAATAAATAACTTTGTTTAAGTGCATTGAAAGAATTTCATGGCATATGTCAAATAATTTCCTAACCATGTTGTAACCCTGGACATTATTATATAGATTGCATATGATTTTTTTTCTTGTTGTCTCATTTTTCTAGAAAAAAAAGACATTTGCTAGCTTCCTTTTGACAATCTACGTCGCGTAATGATCATACTGATGAGAAGAAAAACGAGCATGAACATTTCTTTTTCCTAACTAGAAATAAGAATAAAAGGAAGAAAAAAAAAGCCTATTAAACATTGCTCACATATATTCGTTCAACTATGCATTCACTGTAAGTTTGATTATATTCTTCACATATAGACTAGATCTTTCTGCCGCTTGAAAGAATTTTTTTTCCTCAAAGACCGACTGAAGAAGAAAAAAGAAAAAAGAATGTTCTATTCTATATGAATACAAAGAAGAACGATAACAAATGACGATGTTGAACGTAATACTAAAGAAAAATGCTTATAGTAGTTTGACTCCACTTTGATAATGACAACAGCAAGCACTGAAGAATTCTCTCTCTTTTTTTTCTTCTCATTTCTCTTTTTACTCTTATTCCATTCACATAAATAAATAAATATCTATATATATATATATATCTCCTCTTTTATTCACAACTCATTTCTATATTTGAGTTTTGCAGAAACGATTATAATCGATATAGAACAATATAACAAAAATATAATCGAAACATTTTTCAGATGGCACCTCACATATCTTTCATAGCCTCTGGTTTATTATTAGTTATCTTTACTATTGTTGTTCAATCGGTTCCTATTGACAAAACTAAAGACAGTAAGTTCAGTTTTTTTTTTTTATAAGTGTTTAATTTAATTTTTATACAATAATACATTTGATGTTCATAGTCGCTCAACCATCTTCGATAAAAAATAAACAGGTTGTCAATCATCATCTTCACAAATTTATTCATGCAGTAGAAACTACATCAAGCTCGACTGGTACTACAACAAATCCAACAACTACCGTTTCTCAAAGCTCTTTATCAACATCAACAGTAACACCAGAAATAACTAATAAAAAAAAGAAACGTTATATTGATGATGATGACAATGATGCATTGAGTCAACTTTTAGATAGTGAAAATTATGAAAGTGATGAATTAGATTCTTCTCAATTACCTTATTTTAAACATGAAAATATTGATAATAACATTGGTCATAAATTGTATGCTAAAGTAGAAGAAACAGCAGCTACAATTCATGACAATGCAGATAGTAAGTTTTATTTTGATTAATTTTTTTTTCTAATGTCATATATACATTCTTCTATTTTTTTTAGAACCAGTCGATACAGATGATTCAAAAACCTTTTCTGATATTATGATGACTCCAAGTGAATTAACAGATATTGTACGTCGACGTCGTGATGTTAAATTGAATGATGAATTAAATACAAGACGTAAACGAGCTATATCACCATATAGTTTTTATGATACTGATTCGGTACTGTATTGTTTACTAAGAAATTCTTTTTCTAGTTTATATTTAGTTTAATAAATAATAGAGTTCATATTGTTCTGAATGGTATAATCGGAAACAAAGAGTCTTATACTTATTCTTTGATTGTTGGTTCAGTTCGTGTGTTATGAGAAAAAAACTACTGCGCATAAATATTACTATTAGTGTATCTAATTTCCATTTGACCCTAATATTTGTTGAATGTAAGCTGTGTCAAAAGAGTAGATGAGAAACATAAACAATCTTTTCATTTTAATGTGCTTCTTTTTTTGTGATAACGTAATATTTTACAATAGATCTGTTTTTTTTTTATATTTTATTTTAGTTGTATGATCCATATGTTGATATGATCGATGGATATCCATATGTTCGTCCGACTCGTTCATTTGCGTAAAGATTTCTAATTTTATTTACTATTTTAATATAAGGTTTTTTTTTTCTTTTTATTAGTCCTCTCTATTGGTATCCAAGTGTCTATCAACGAAATATTCGTTCAGCTCTTGCGCCATCATTCTATGAATCATCAGAGTATCCAACATTATATTCAACGACTATCGATAATAATAATGATGATGATGATGACAGCCCAGGTAAACACTTGAATTTTTTCGAATAATTTATTTTTACTTTATTTATTTAGTTCCAATATTTAATAATGATATTGAAGATAACAATGAATTTGAAACAAATCGTTATCCTATTTTATTACAATTATCTAATAATCCATTAGATGATATAGAATTACCAGAACAATACAATGAAGATGTTTTACCGATTGATGAAGATATTGAAGAAATTTTTAATGAAAGTGACATGGATGATAGCAATGATGATGATAATAATGATGACGATGATGATGATGATGATGATGATGAAAATGATAATGAAGCACAATATCGTTTAATTTTTCAAAGAAAACGCCCATATTATGTAATGTTTAATGAGTTAAATTTTTAAATAGATTATAATTTTTCCTTTCTAGGCTAGTTATGGACCTTTTGAGACGTATTTTTGATTGAGAAAGTGACATACAGTAAGTCAATTATTTCTAATAATTATTTTTTTAATTGAAAATTGTTTTTTTTTTCTTTTTAGAATAATAAATGGTGAACGATACAAGCAGTTCTTTATACACACAAAAAAAAAACTAAAACATAAATGAAAAATACAAGAAAAAAAAAAGAAATCGAGAAAAAAAGATATCTAACTCATTTATTGTCTCACTAAATGTTTTGATGATAAGACATCTAATAATTTTATTTTTCTTGTCACAAAAAACAGAAAGATCAATCTCCTCGTTATTTCTTCATTTCTTTTTCTCACGTTTTTATTTCTTGCCATTCATATTGCTAAGATATTGATCATTATTGATACACATTTGATGAGAGAGTGAAGTTTGAAGACCTTGTTTTTACGTTCATACTATTTTGCTCTGGGTATTTTTTCTGTTGTTAGGCAAAAAAAAAGAAAATCAAAATTGTTTATTCACAGGACCATGAATGACACAGTTGATAGCATTTCAATACCAGCTATATGCCATAATTGTCAGACAAGTTATGGTTTGAGCTCAGCTGATCGACGTTCTATCATTGTTATGGTTGTTCTTACTGGTGTGGCATTAATATTATGCTATATAGGTGTACTATGGTTTGCTATTCGTACACGTTTTATTCCCGATGAAGAATCGCTCATTGCGCTGGAACATATGCATAAAAATCTGGCGTTTAATGATGATGTAAAAAATGAGGATAAAGAGGAAAATGTACAGAGTATGGTTAATACAACAGCAGTGACGACAGCATCACAACCAGCTCTGATTGAATTGGAAAACGAGAACGAGCGATTTTGAAAAAAATGACAGTCTTCTTTTTCATCATATTTATGATAGATAAGCACAATTGTTTTCATCAACAAGGTGTTTGTTTTGACGAAGTAAATCGGACGAAATCGGAACTCACTTAAACGTTTGTTTTTTTTTTGAAAATAAAAATAAAAATATTCCATTTCAAACGTGAAGTGTTCTTGGAGGTCACTTATATTGACAGAGATTTCTGAATGCATGACTTTTTATAACGAAGTAATATTTATTACGCATTAAGATTTGCTCATAGAGTCAAAGTTGTCAATTATATATGTTAAACTAAGTTTTATCTTAAGGGGTAGATTAGGAATTGTTATAATTACTGTTACTAACGAGTGACTATGTCTAACTATTAATCCTCGAGCAAAATGTTATGTTGCTTGTAAGTAGAACTCAATGCGACTAGAAAAAGCGTTAAAGAATTACTACTCCTCCCAAGACTTTCTTTGTAGATTTATGATCGTTTTATCAGATTTTCGACTTGAATATGTCCTGAAAGTTTCAGTTAAGATGGATAGCTTTTTCGCGAAATATTCAATATTCAAAAAAAAAACAATCATATACAACAAAACAAAGTCATAAAACCAATTATCTATTTATGCAGAAAAATCTACATAGGAATTCTTCCTTTTTGATTTTTCTATGTATACCTTGCCATAAGCCAAAAATCCAATTAAGGAAGGTCTATGGGAAGAACTTATTTCAAGCTTTTTCTAGTCTCACTGAGTTCTACGGATAAGCAAAATATCACTTCGATCTCCAATAAACAGTTGGATATGTTATTTCATTTGTCATTAATCAGCATATGTTCTTTGTTTAATTATACGTAGGAAAAACATACAAAAATACTCAAATTTGAAATATCACTATATGTCTTGTTACGTTTGAGAGAATCGTACAAAGTTATTCATCACTTTTGACCTCATATTTTTGGTATGTAGAGAAAACATCTAGACTAAAATAAGTGTATAACTGACTATTTTTTAATCAGAGGCAGTACTCATTAACTAATAGAGAGGTCTATATTCGATGAAAGTAATACTATAATTATATATAAGTACTAGTTCTTCTGTAGACAAGACGTGCGATCCCAAATCATTCTGCTTTTGTTGCTATTTTAATCAACAAGTCCTCTATAAATGCCAAAAAAAATTGCGGTCAAAAATAATGGATAATTTTTCGCCGTTTTCGTGTCACTATGCACTTTGACATACTTTTAGCCATCCATAGTAGAGTTTTATTTAAGAAAAACTACAATATATCTTTTTTTTCTGTCACTTGTTATCATGGAATAAAAGCTGATGTTTCAAAAATTTTCATTTAATTATTTAAACTAAACGGTTCGTCAAGTCTTTCTTTTATAGTATGAATTGATGTTGACACATGCGAGATCTTTCTACTGATATGACGTCGATTATCAAGTTCTAATCTATATAATTCTTTATTTTCTGTATTGTTACTAAAATAATAATATATGATAATTGCACATAGAAAAAAAAATACCAACAAAAATGCACTAGTAATAATAATAATTAATATTAACTCTTGTCCAAAATTATTATCATTAAGATCAACAAGACCAATTTGTTTTGTAGTTGACATCTTAAATAAATAAAAAAATCGAAATGGTTTCTTTCAAATGCGCCAATATTCATTGATTATTATTCATACAAACAATGCAAAACAGTAAATTAATGAAAAATATTCATAATAACAAAACAAAAAATATTCTATTTTCAATTAAAAATTCAACTCAAAACTTCATCAATTTATTTGCACGAAAAAGTAAGAATAAATACAAAAAAAACCTAAAATTAAAGATTGATTATAAAATGAATATTTTATACTTTTCGATGTCATATAATAAGATGATAATTCAATACGTGATGTTGATGTTGTTCCAGTATTTGAACATAAAACTAATGTTGTTGGTGAATTTGCTTGATAACCACAATTTTGTAAATAACCATAAATTATTTGTGTACGATTTAATAATTGTGTTTCAGCTGTTTGACTTCGACGTGCTGAATTTATAGTTGGTTGTAAACCAAGTAAAGTAAAAAATGTTACAATTAAAGCAAGAAGTAATAATCCAAGTAATATTAATCCCCATAATGGACAACCATAAAACCATTCACAACAACTACATGAACTATTTGGTAAATCACAACGTCCTTTACACCAATTACAATAATAATAATGACGATATTTATAATCAGATTTATAAACTTTTCGTTTTCCAAAATCAAGATCCGATGAATAATAACCACTATGAGTACGTGTACGACGAACATGATGAATAAAACGACGTTCAGGTACAATTGTTGTTGGTGGATCATTAATAATTGTTGTTTGAATAGGTGGTCGTGGTGGTAAAATAGTATGTTGTTTTATAATATGAGGTCGTGGTGTAATTGTTGAATTGGTTGTATAAGAATTTGTTGTATATGAACCTGTTGAACTAGTTGTATAAGTTGAAAATGTTGATGGTGAGTTTGTTCGTATACGTCGACGTCGATGCGTACGATATGTTGGCCTTTCACGAATGGTTGTTGTTTCAATAGCTGGTACAACTGCTGTTGTTGCTATTTGAGGTTGAGGCACAGTTGTAACTGATGATGTAACTACTGCTGGTGCTGTTGGAATCTCAATAGGTTTAATAATTGTTGTTGTTGTTTTTGTTTCTTCAATAAAAGAATCCTCAGCAAGTATTGGTAAAGTTTTTGCATCTAAAATTCGAGTAGTCGTTTTTGTTGTTGTTGAAGCATTTGTTTGAGGTTGTTGTTGAACAGTTACTTCTGATGTTGTAGGATGAATTGATGGTGATGGTGTTCGATAACGAACAGTTGATATTGCTTGTTGACCTCTCATGTCATATGATGTTGGATAATATACAGTTTGATTTTTAGGGAAAGTATCAAAAAAAGAAGCTGGTGGTGGTGTTGTTCCACGACTTGTAGTATCTTTGATAATAACACTTTTTGTTGTTACTTCTTTTTCAGAAGACTTTACGGGTAGTGATGCCGCTGGTGGTGGTAGTGGTGGAGATTGTTGAACACGAGAAACTCGTTTAACACGAAACATACGTGGACTACCACGACTAATGATTGGTGGTGAAGGATCACGATTTAATGAAGGACTTTCAACAATTGAATATGTATTCTCAAAACAAAAATAAAGAAATGAAAGAACATTAGTGAATAAATATGATATCTATCATACAGTTTTATATGGATAAGATTCAGTTGATTGTAATTGATTATTAGCATTTTGAGATTGATCATTATTATTAAATATAATGGGAGTACGTTGTGTATTTTGAGCTTGTCGTCGTTTTTGAGCTTCTGTTGGATCCAAACGAATTGTTGTTTTAGTCATACGACTTTCACTAGAATTATTTGATATCGGCATCTTAATTGATGTCGTCTGTGTCAATTCTTCGATTTTTTTATGTAAGTTGAATAAAATATGAAAAAATTTGTTACTCAACACTTCTTAATCAGTAGGTGGTCTTTTGTTGACCTTCGTAATACAAAAAAGAAAAAAATAAAATAAAATAAAATAAAATCATTCTTTTTCTTATTTTTAGAAAATGTGTTCTTTCATCAGCAACGTATTCGACGTAATGTTATATTTACAACAACATCAATATGGGATCCATTTGATATAAATGAAGAAGAAAACGCATTGTATGAACAAGAAAGAGATAGTCATGGAATGTCATTAAAAAATATTTTTTTAATATGTGGATCTTGTTGTATAGTATTATTAATTATACTTGCTTTTTCAATGTATACAACACGAGAACGTATTCACAATGAGAAAAGAATAATTCAAATAAAAAGGAATTCATCAATGGTAAGCGATGCTAAGTCATCTCGTAGTTCAAATAAATCAACAGATTAAACCATCTACTCTTTTTCTTTCTGTAAAATTTCTCTGCTTCTTGTGTTATATATTCATTTTTTGAAATAAAATAGAGGTAAGGAATTGAGAATGTCTCGAAGATCGTACAGTTCTATTACATTATATTCAAAATTAGGTTTCACGACTTAGTGTTCTATGCTTCATCAAACTATACTCTTAACATTATGTA